GTTCTAAACAGGTCAGGTGCAGACAGAAACATTAAAGTGGTTATTGTGGTGCAGGATTAGTTTCATTGTTCTGTGTGTAGAAAGGGGGAGGAGTTGAAAAGCTTGATAGGCACAGGAGGAAGGACTTCCTGTGTTCTGTGGATCAGTATAAAGTGAAACAAATGATAAAATCTGCTCCATTGTTGTTTTGGTTTTCGTGGCACATAGTGATAATGAACACATGCAAAAATACAGTAGATTGCTACATCATTATTTATTCAAAGCTCTCCTGCCTACACACATACACACCAGAAATCATTTATTTTTTATTAATGTTTAAATAAAATCCTTTTAACAAGATGTTTTTTGTTTGTTTTAGCTTCGTTTGTATTGGACAGAATGTGCAAACACAGCAGAAAAGGTCTTTTTTATGTCCAGAGCGGGGATATGTTCTGATTTTCTGCCTTTCATGTACGTAGATGGACAAATATTTTTTCAAATGAAGACAACATAGTCTGTTAAAAATAACCAGACGAGTGTAGTCGGGGCCTTTAGAAGTCTCCAGCTGATATAAGTAACATATTTTTGAGCTGTGTGAAGAATAAGACACCGAACATAGGGACGTACATGTTATGCTCAGATTACACGGCCCATCTGAATTGTGTTAACAGCTTCTCATCACATTTTTTCAGAGGTTCTAACAGGAAGCTTTTAGTTCTTTGTTGATGATGTTTTGGTGTCATCCTTAATTGCATCAAAGACTTCATGTTCTTGTTGAAGTCGGATTCATGACATCCCTCCGGCTGGTTTTGTTAGTCTGCCTTTTTCTAAAATTAGTTGTATATTTTTGAGTATTTATAAACAATTCAGGTAGAAAATTTTGGCTTTATTGCTTAAATAACAAATATTTAACAGCTGAATTTCTTCAGATTAAAACATGGCTTTAATAACAGTGGTTATTAGTCACAAAGTTTACCCCTTTAATCTTAATGTCCAGACTTTTTGACGTAATAATCACCAGATTAACAATATTATAATAATTATCAACACTGTCCAGATTCATGTTGTTAATTTTTCTTATTTTATGTAAAAAGTGTTTACGTTAATCTTCTTTCATTAAAACATACAGTTCTGTCAAACCCAAAGTGCACTCCTGCTGGCTGCCTTTTAAAAATGATCAACTATAATGTTTAGTTATATAACAATAATTATTTAATTTGGCAAAAAATAAAGAGCATCCCTTTTCTTACTTGTCTTAGTCAATCTGTTACTCCTTACTTTTCTCCCTCGTTTCTTTTTACTCTCTTTATTAGTTTTGTTTCCTCTCAGCCTTTGAATTTTAATATATATTACACTGGAGGAGGAGAAACGGAGCGAGGAGGAACCACCAGACCCTCCATACATGAAAGCAGCTCCGTCATCTGCTTCACATTAATGGCACACAGATTTTTCAGACATCTTTTTTCCAAACAATAGACAGCTTGATTTATAAACTGGCACTAGAGTTTTATTGGAGAAAAGCTACAGATGAAAAATAACAGAAAATGAGAAATTTGTTCGTAGAAAAAGAGAAAATGCATTAATCGTCACGTGTGGCGTGGAGATCCGTCTGGGATTTGTTTGGCCCAGATCAAAGTCACTGTAAGAATTCAGACTCTGGTTCTGTTACCTTAAAAACCCAGCGTCTTTGTCAAGCTGACGCTTCATGCAGCTTTTGTTTCTTTGATAATTTATGAACTCTGTTATGAGTTACATCGCTAAATGTTTGAGCACAATTATGTTGCTTCAGGGGATTCATTAGTTACATAATGTACGACCTTTTTGTTGAGAGCTTTTGCTCAACTCTCCTACAAACGTAGGGATTTGTGCAGTAAAGAGTGGTCTCACTGTCAGAAAGAGTAATTACCTTTCCTTCTGTGTGTATAAATGCTTGCCACATGTTGGATTTTTAATAAAACTACAGTAGAAGGTAACTTACATGATCACTAAATTAATAAGTCAAAGTACTGCCTCTTCAAAGCTTTTAGACCTGCAAGAAGAAGAAAAAAACTTCTGGAATACAATAAATAATACACACAATTTGATTATTATTATTGTTGTTGTTGTTGTTGTTGTTGTTGTTGTTGTTGTTGTTGTTGTTGTTATTATTATTATTATTGTTGTTGTTATGATTATTATTATTATTGTTGTTATGATGATGATTATTGTTATGATTATTATTGCAGTATTGTTATCATTATTATTAATATTATTGTTATTATTATTGTTAATATTATTTATTATTATTATTATTATTATTATTATTATTATTATTATTACACATTTCTCCTATGCTCAAAGTAATATAAGGATTTTATAACTTTTTTCAAATGAAGCAAACTACTGATATTAGGACCGTTAGTTTGCTGTGAGATATGAGGTGTAGGTCCAAGTCCTGACCCATCGGACCAGTTCTGACCCATCGGACCAGTTCTGACCCATCGGACCAGTCCTGACCCATCGGACCAGTCCTGACCCATCGGACCAGTTCTGACCCATCGGACCAGTTCTGACCCATCGGACCAGTCCTGAGTCCTGACCCAGCAGTAGACTCTCCTCGGACAGTCTTTCTCAGGCGTTCAGAGCTTCTTTGGGACTCGGAGTCCATTCTTTCTGCAGAGCGCTGATGAGTCCAGGTGGTGATGTTGGACGAGAAGGTCCAGCTCATCCTGGAAGAACCTGCTGGTAGAAACGCTCCATCTGTGTCAGAACCTCAGAACCGTCTTCATGTGTTTGTGCAGAAGTCTCCGACCTTCAGCACATCTGGAGCTCTGCGGTTCTTCTCGTAAAGTTTTACACTTGGAGTGGAAACCAGTTTCCTAACGGTCTGGTTCTGGATCTGGTTTCTTTGTTCTTCTCTCTCCACGAGTAATTTGTCCATGAACCGTCGGAGCTTTAAAGAGAAATGTGTGAACTAAACGAAGAGACTGAGAACATCAAAACTGCAGCAGGTCGACTTCAGACGTCTTTGAAGTCTCCGAGTTTCCTTTTTCTTGTCTGCAATAAAAGAAGTTTAATAATCAAAGCTCTTATTTTGATGAACTTAGAGCCAACAAGTCACTCAGACACGAGTCTGAAGGGTTCCTTGAAGGAACATCACCGGCTGCCTCATGCCAATTTACTCTGAGATCATCTACTGAGATCATCTTACTGAGATCATCTTATTGAAATCATCTACTGAGATCATCTTACTGAGATCATGTTATTGAGATCATCTTATTGAGATCATCTTACTGAAATCATCTTATTGAGATCATCTTACTGAAATCATCTTATTGAGATCATCTTATTGAAATCATCTTATTGAGATCATCTTATTGAGATCATCTTACTGAGATCATGTTATTGAGATCATGTTATTGAGATCATCTTACTGAGATCATCTTATTGAAATCATCTTATTGAGATCATCTTATTGAGATCATCTTACTGAGATCATCTTATTGAGATCATCTTATTGAAATCATCTTATTGAAATCATCTTATTGAGATCATCTTACTGAGATCATCTGACTGAAATCATCTTATTGAGATCATCTTATTGAAATCATCTTATTGAGATCATCTTATTGAGATCAT